ATGTCCATACTTGGGGCACCTGGATAGCTTAGTTGTTTAGTGTCTGACTCTTGATTTCAACTCAGGTCATGATCTCAGGGTCGTGAGATCAAGACCCATGTTGGGCTCCACGCTCTGCAGGGAATCTGCTTGGGATTCTCTCTTTCCCTCTCCCTCTCCCTCTGCCTCTCCTCTCTCTCTCTCTCTCTAAAATAAGTAAGTCTTGAAAAGAAAAGGAACTGTCCATACTACACAAAGCCATTTATAGACTTTTTGATAAATTCCAATGGCATTTTTCACAGAAATAAAAAAAAAAAATCCTAAAATTCATATGGAATCACAAAAGAGCCCTGAGTAGCCAAAGCAGTCCTGAGAAAGAACAAAACTGGAGGCAACACACTTCCTAATTTAAAACTTTAGTATAGGGGCTCCTGGCTGGCTCAGTCAGTGGAGCATGCTACTCTTGATCTTAGGGTTATGAGTTCAAGCCCTGTGTTGGGTGTTGAGATTACTTAAAAATAAAATCTTTAAAGAAAAAAACTTTATTACAAAGTTGTAATATTCAAGGTAGTATACTGCATAAAAACAGACACCTAGAACAATGGAAGAGAACCAAGAGCCCAGGAATAAACCCATTCATATATGGTCAACAAATACTCAACAAGGGAACCCGAACTACTTAATGGAGAGAGAGTAGTTGCTTTAATAAATGGTGTTGGGGAAACTGGATGTTCACGTGCAAAAGAATGAAATCGGACCCCTATCTTACACCTCACAGTAATTAACTCAAAATGTGTGAAAACTTTAAAACCTGAAACTATAAATCTTCTAGAAGAAAACATAAGGGAAAAGCTCCTTGACATTGGTCTTGGCAGTGATTGTTTAGATATGACACCAAAAGCACAAGCAACAAAAAGCAAAACATAAGAGTAAATGCTTCTGCACAATAAAAGACCTGATAAAGGGGTAATATCCAAAATATATAAGGAACTCCTATAGTTCAATAGCCAAAAATCAACACTTAAGTTGAAAAATGAACAGAGAACCTAAATAGACATATTTCCGAAGAAGTCCTACAAATGTCCCCTACAGGTACATGAAAAGATGCTCAATATCACTTATGATCAGGGAAATGCAAACCAAAACCACAATGAGATATCACCTCATACTTGTTAGAATGACTATTATCAAAAAGACAAAGGATAAGTTTTGGCGAGGATGTGGGGAAAAGGGAACCCTTGTGCACTGTTGGTGGGAATGTAAATTGGTGCACTAATTATTGAAAACTGGAGGTTCCTCAAATAGTTAAAAATAGAGCTATCCATATGGTCCAGCAGCAGTCTACTTCTGAGTATCTGAAGAAAATGAAAATAGTAATTCGAGAAGACATCTGCACTTCCATGTTCACCACAGCATTATTCACAATAGCCAAGATATGGAAGCAACCTAAGTGTTAGCAAATGAATGTGATACTTATTCAAAGAAAATGTGGTACACACAGGCACACACAATATGTAATAGTATTTTGCCTTTTGCAATAACTTGAATATACCTTGGGAGTATTATGTTAAATAAGTCAGAGAAAGACAAATACTGTTTGATTTCACTTACATATGGAATGTGGAGTTAGTTGAACTCATAGGAACAGATTAGAATGGTGGTTACTGGTGGCTGGGAGGTCGGGGAAATGGGGAGATCTCGGGCAAAGAGTACAAACTTATCTCTATAAGATGAATAAGTTCTGAGAATCTAACATATAAAGTGGTAATTATAGTTAACAATATTGTATGTTTGAAAGTTGTTAAGAGAGTAAATGTTAAATGTTCTCATCAAAAAAAGTAATTATTTGGGGGTGATGAAGGTGTTCAGTAGGCCTTATTGTGGTAATTATTTTGTAGTGTATACATGTATCAGATCATCACAGTGTGTTACATGATGTTACATGTCAGTTATATCTCAATAAAGCTGGAGAAAAAAACATGGGGAGACAACAGAAATATGTTCACATATTTTCCAAATGACTTAAACAAGAATGTATATAGTGGTGAAAAACTGGGGGCTTTTCCTGTAAGAACCAAAACAAGACAAGGATGTCTACTCTTGCCACTTTTATTCTACGTAGTACTGGAAGTCCTGGCCACAGCAATCATACAATGAATCAATGACATCCAAATTGGTAAGGAAGAAGTTAAACTGTCACTATTGGCAGGTGACATGATACTACAGAAAACCCTAAAGACTCCACCAAAAAATTATTAGAGATAATAAATGAATTCAGTAAAGTTGCAGGAGATAAAATTAATATACAGAAATTATTTACACTTCTATACACTCATGGCAAAGTAGCAGAAAGAGAAATTTAAAAAAACAGTCTCATTTACAGTTGCACCAAAAACAATAAAATACCTAGGAATAAACTTAACCAGGGAGATGAAAGACCTGTATTCTGAAAACTATAAACACTAACGAAAGAAATTGAAGACAATACAAATAAATGGAGAGATATTCCATGCTCATGGGTTGGAAATATTAATATTGTTAAAATATCCATACTACCCAAAGCATTCTACAGATTCAGTGCAATCCCTATCAAAATGCCAACTGCACTTTTCACAGAACTAGAACAAATAATATTAAAATTTTTATGGAACTGCATAAGAGCCCAGATAGTCAAAGTAACAAAGCTGGAGGTATCCCAGTGCCAGATTTCAAGATATACAACAAAGCAATAATAATCAAAACAGTGTAGTACTGACACTGAAATAGACATATAGATCATTGGAACAGAATAGAGAGCACAGAAATAATCTACAACAAAAGAGGCAGGAATATACAATGGGGAAAAGATAGTCTCTTCAATAAATGCTGTTGGGAAGCTGGACAGCTACATGCAAAAGAATACAACTTATAAGACCACTTATACCATATGTAAAAATAAACTCAAAATGGGTTAAAGACATAAATGTGAGACCTGAGAGCATAAAACTCTTAGAAGAAAATATAGGCAATAATTTTTTTGACATCGACTGTATCAACATTTTTCTAGCTATGTCTCCTCAGGCAAGGGAAACAAAAGCACAAATAAACTGTTGGGACTAACACCACAATAAAAGCTTTTGCTCATCAAAGGAAACCATCAACAAAGTAAGAAGACATCCGACTGAATAGGAGAAGATATTGCAAATGAAACATTGCAAATGATAAGAGGTTAGTAGCCAAGATACATAAAGAACTTCTACAACTCAACACCCGAAAAAGCAAATAATCCAATTTAAAAGTTGGCAGAGGACCTGAATAGATGTTTTTCCAAAGAAGACTTCCAGGTGGCCAACAGACACATGAAAAGATTCTCCACATCAGTCATCATCAGGGAAATGCCAGTCAAAACTACAAGGAGATGTCACCTCACACCTGTCAGAATGGTTAGAAGTAAAAAGACAACAAGTATGGGCAAGGATGTGGATTAAAGGGAAACTTCGTGTGTGTTAGTGGGAATATAAATTGGTATAGGCACTGTGGAAAACAGTATGGAGGCTGCGCAAGTAATTAAACATAGAACTATCATATGATTCAGTAATTCCACTACTGGGTATTTACCCATGGTAAGCAAAAACACTAATTCAAAGACACATGCACCCCAGGGTTTACTGCAGCATTATTTACAAATAGCCAAGATATGGAAGCAACACAAGTGTCCATCAATAGAAAAATAGATAAAGAAGATGGGTGGGGGGGTGTGCGTGCGTGTGCACAATGGAATATTATTCAGCCATAGAAAAATGAGATCTTGCCATTTGCAACAGCATGGATGGACCTAGAAAGTATTATGCTAAGTGAAATAAGAGAAAAACAAATGCCATGAGATTTCACTTACATGTGGAATCTAAAAAAAAAACAAAACAAATACAGAAACAGACCCATATGTACAGAGAAGAAACTGATGATTGCCGGGATTGGAGGGGAGAGATGGGCACAAGGAGCGAAGGGGAGTGGGAGGTACAGGCTTCCCGTTATGGAATGAGTAAGTCATAGGGATGAAAGGTGCAGCCCAGGGAATATAGTCAATGGTACTGTGACAGTGTTGTGTGGTGTGAACTATCCATATGGTCCAGCAGCAGTCTACTGAGTATCTGAAGAAAATGAAAATAGTAATTTGAGAAGACATCTACACTTCCATGTTCACCACATGGTAGATGTGTAGATGGTAGCTACACATGTGGTGAGCACAGCATCATGTAGAGACTTGGCAAATCACTATGCTGCACACCTGAAACTAATGTAACCATATTTCAACTATACTTCAATGGAAATAAGATTCAAAAAAAAAAAAAAAAGATGCAGCTGCCCTATTCATAAGAGCTCAAAACTGGAAACTACCCAGATGTCCATCAGCTGTAGAATGGATAAATGAATTATGGTATGTTCACACGATGAAAATCACCACCAATGAGGATGAACAGATTACAACACATGCAATAGTATGGATGAATCTCACAAGCATATTATTGAATGAAAGAAGCCAAAGAGAAATGAATGAAAAAGAATGCCTACTGTATGGTTAGATTTATATGAAATCTAAATACGGAGAACTCATCTGTGATGTTAGTAATCAGGAGAGCTGCTGGCTAACAGTGTCTGTGGTCAATGTCTAAAAGGAGGCACACGTGGGGCCTGGGGTGCTGCTGATGTTTGTTTGCATTCCAGTTGCTTATTACAGAGATGTCCTGTTAAAAGTGAATGAGCTTTACACTTAATGGTTTGTGGATTCTTGTGTATCTGTGTTAAATTTCTATAAAATTTTTAAAGATTGTTTTGGGAGCATGCCAAACATTTCTATCATTTTTTCCGGTCTATTTGTTTCTACCCAGAGGTTAAGGTTCACTACTGTGTCTAAGGTTCTTTGGGGAAACTGGCTATATTAGTGAATCTAGCCCTTTGTTCCCTAACTCTAAGCATTGACTCAAGCATATGGAATAACTGTGTGCATGTGATCTGTGTAGTAATGTTGTGACTTCCCTTAGGAAGTGGCCGATGGAGAAATTGCTGCCCTTCCCCGGGATAGCTGCCCTGTTCGAATCCGAAATCGGTGTGTTATGACGTCCCGTCCACGTGGTGTAAAGCGGCGCTGGAGGCTTAGTCGTATTGTCTTCCGTCACTTAGCAGACCACGGGCAGCTGTCGGGGGTCCAGCGAGCAATATGGTGACCCGCTCTGGAACCTACTGAGCAGGGAAACCAGTTCTGGCAAGAAGAGGCTTCTCTAATAGACAAAAACCTAGTTTTGTAGGGGTCCAGTATGGGAGTCTAGTCTACCTGATGCTGCCTACGGTTAAATTACTTTTTAATTTTAAATTAAGAAATCTGGTGGATGTTTCAGTCAGTGAATTCTGGCTCTCTGTGAATTATCTCTTCTCTTGGACTTAAAAATTAACCGTACTGTTTCCATACATAGTGCAAGGAGTAGAGTAATAAAAAATATTCTGTGAAAATATTCTCTCTATGCCTGCCTTTTCCTTCACACTAAATCTTTTAGCAACATATGAAGCGTTCCTGTATTTTTAAGGGCATTATTTCATAAAGCAGTATTATCTGATAGTTAACGAAACTCACGGACAAGTAGCTCATCTGTGGCAGTTTGTCATCCTGGGCTGGCTTCCCTGACCTGCACAGCGCACCATACTGCCAGCTCATTGTTAGGGAAATGATGTGTTAGAAGGTACAGCTGGTGTTCCTGGGTGTCTAAGTCATGCTCCACTTCTCTGTGTGATGGCTGGACAAGAGGCAGAAGCACTAAAAGTTTTCTTGTTCCATCTTTGACAGCCTTTAGGGAAGAAGCCCTCTTAGAGCCCCTGAAAATCGATGCAAACAGGAAAAATTTTGTTGGAATAGTATGTATTTTCTTTATTCTGGTTTATCTGTAACAGAAATGAGTAAAGGTAGCAAAAGATTGTCTTGTTCAGTAACTCAGCAGTGATCAGCCCAGTGATAAAAATGTCCGGGGTGTAAGTATGGAAGCACCCACTTCACATCAGGCAAGTGTTCCCGGAGCTGACATCAGAACTTCAATCAGGAGGCAAGGGACGAGATTTTTGCAGAGGGAACCAGGGAAGTGGAGGCACAAAGTCATCAAGGAGTGCGACGGCAGCCCCTCTGTTGTATGAGAAATATGAAACGCAAGACAAAGCCCATGTCATGGAAGATACATTATGTGAAGGTAAGACTTAATTGGGGAGCAGAGGAATAACCTCATCAGTTGCTCTCCAGATAACTGACAATAGTGTGGTAGATCTAGGCCACGAGTGGAAAGGCTCCATGCAAGATAACCAGTTAGGAGGGATGTCATAATCGTTCTGGAAAACCAGGGCCTTAACAAAGGGAGTTGAGGCAGACAAGAGGATAGGTTTTAAAAAGACTTATTTAGAAAGAAAATTGGGCAAGACTTAGAGACTGATAGGTAAAGGGGACTATGGGTTTCTGGTAAGGGTGATTGGATGGATGGCAGAAGGCAACCCCCAGATAGAAAATATAGGCAGAAAAGAATCAGTTGGGAGGAAACCGGGCATGTGAGTTCAGGTTTCAGTCGTGCTGTTGGAGATGCCTGTGTCTCAGGGAGAGGCCTGGTGTGCACCTGGGTAGCAGAGTCCGGAATTTAGTGGAGGTGAAGCTGTGCGAGAATTCTCACAAACCTTGGATTCATGTTTCCCAAATTTATATTACAGCTTACCAACTGGAATGCTCTAGCTAGTATCCCAACTAGTAACTAGGGTTAATCAGATAACTAGAACGTCCCATTTGTTTTCTGGCGTATCATCGATAGGACACCCTCTTTTTGTTTTCATTTGTTTGATTCAGGCATCCAAGCATGATCCATCGATTTCATTTGGTTGCTGTGCCTGTCGTTCCTGCTTTCGTGTCACTGGTTTGTTGGAGGAGCCAGGTCATTGGTCCTTACATTCTGCATGGAGCGCTGGGTGTTACACACAAACAGTGAACCATGGACACTACATCAAAAACTCATGGAATTAACATAATAAAAAAAAAGGCCAACATTTGGGGGCTGTTTGCTTCTTCATGTGTCCTTTAATTTATTCCCGTCCCTAAAAACTCGTAGTTACACTCAGAGGCTTAACTAGATTCAGGTTCAGTTTTTTAAGGAATGAATTTTCCCAGGTGTGCTGGATACTATTTCCTGTGCCATCAGAAGGCAACTTTCTGGTTGTCCTCCCACTGCTGGGTCCTGTATCCTGTTAACTTGATGAAGGATATTTGGTATTTCCTCACTTTCTGGCATAAGAAAACGCAGGCTTACCTTGTGTATTTTCTGCCTAACATTTTTGAAGGCTCCCTGATCCTTTTAGTACAAAAATGTTGAGACCGTATCTGAGCACTAAGGGTGCTGCTGTTTGCTACTGAATTCTGAATTGTCATTGCCTTTATAAAGGCCCTTTTGGTGGATGTTGCTAAGAAATGCGCATTTAAGAAAAATAATGGTAAGTTCCTATCAATTCTGTACTTGTTAAATATAAGCTCCTAATGACTCGAGTTATTCATTACCTTTATAATACATAAAAATTGCTTCAACATACACTTTTACTCCTAACACTAAGTGATCATAGTGTTAAGACTTCTGTGGGTTTGTCTTTAGACTTCTGTTGCACTAGCAATGGAGAGTCAAAATACTGTGTTCTAAAGTCACTTGCAAGAATTATGTCTGTCACAACTTGGTATGTTAGGTTTGTTTTCAAACGTTAGGATTACTTTTTATTTAGCTTGGAAATGTTAAATTTTAGATGGTTCTAAAGTCGAAACTACAGACAAAAGTACACTCACAAGTATGGTTTCCATCCCACCTCGTTCTTTTCCCTACTGGTAACCATTTTTAATTAGTTTCGGGTTACTCTTCTGGTTTCTTTTTGAAATAAGTAAGTAAATATGTGTATGTCTGTGTATTCACATGTCTCACCCTTTTGGACACTAAGGTAAGTATACCATAAACAATTTTCTGAACCTTGCTTTTCCTGTATCGTGATCATTCTGTTTATGTAGAAATAATCTTTTTGTGACTGTAAGGACCCCCCATGTAGACATATCTGTTTATTCAGCTAGTCCTCGATTAATTGACATTTGGGTATTTCTATTTTTTTGCATTTATCATTCATTTTTGCCATTATTTTTGAGGTTATGTTAAATGTTTAACAGTTATCCTATACGTTAATTTAAAACCCTTCCAGGGCGCCTGGGTGGCTCAGTTGGTTAAGCGACTGCCTTCGGCTCAGGTCATGATCCTGGAGTCCCGGGTTCGAGTCCCGCATCGGGCTCCCTGCTCAGCAGGGAGTCTGCTTCTCCCTCTGACCCTCTTCCCTCTCGTGCTATCTCTCATTCTCTCTCTCTCTCAGATGAATAAATAAAATCTTTTAAAAAAATAAATAAATAAAACCCTTCCAATTTTTACCCTACCACTTTTACCAGATTCTCCTATTCTAGTAGTTTTGGTTAATCCTCTTGAATTTTTCCTATGTGTGTTTGATCGCTTTCTCTTATCAATTGACAAATACAAATGGAGATCACAGGCACCTTGCTCTTAACTGGATTTTTAGGGGGAGTAATTCTAAAAGAAATCCTCCCTTTTAATAAAAAGCCTTTCCTGGCATACTCCTGGATAGACAGAACTATTCCATTGAACAAAAATCTAATCAACTTTATTGAACATAAGAATAGATAGATTTTTATTTATTTTTGCTTTATGGTTATTGCTTTTGAAAATCATCTGATCCATGGTAACTTACTAATTGGTACTATAGAAAGATGTTTTCCTTTTCTTGTCAAGTTTAGATTTAGTTTTTATTTCTGAGCATTTAAATCTAGAGAGAGAAGTATTTGTGATTGGATTAGTAGAGTAGGCCATGGTAATGTGTGGTATATGTATTAAGCTCACAGAAAACTATGGCAACCTTGAAGCACACAGGTACGAATTTGCATTTTATGCAAAAATTCAGGTTTTATTTTTACTTATTCTTACAATTGTGGGAGCTGGTATCAGGAACTTAGAGGCAAAAACAACTTTTGTTTTCTACATCTTAGCTGAACAAAAATACACACAATGTGGCATTATCATTAGGCAAGACTTGCTTTTTTACATTTCACACAAGAATACCATATTATCCTTTTTTGAACAAAATGCCCAGATTACTAAGGAAACGATCTTTGGAGGAAGTGTTTAATAAGCATATTTTATTTAAATAAATCCTCCAGGAGGAAATGGGAGAATTCACTGCCTTTACTTAGAAGGCGGCTATGTAAGCAGTTATCTGTCAAATTTATCTGTGCAGCTCACCAACATTTCCTCATTGGAAACATCAATATTTCCACATTGCAGTTCCCAAAATGACTTTAAAGTCTTAAAATTCTGTGTCTCCTTTTGCTTGCTTCTCTCTTGATTCCACCCAGGCTTTATTAATGGTTCGCTTCATGTCATCATCTCCGTCTTCATAAATTTTCTTTAGAACATTCATCAGTCCCTCACTAGGATCTGTTTCAGTGTCATAGGAGGGCTTTCTGTGAAAAAGAAAACAATTCTAAGTGATCCCATTTACTGATATGGTCCTCAATATAATCAATGCCTCTAGTTCAACTGATGTCCAAGCAGGGCCAATTAACTTTATATTCTTCACTTATCTCATTCAGTGCCAGATCGCGTAACTGGGCACTGAGGATACAACAAGAGGAAGACATGGTCCTGTGCTCAAGTAATTTGTTCTAGATTTAAAATCAAATCAGATACATATAGTTCCTAACTCTAGCCAAGTGCACCCCTGGCTACGGAAGAAGGAAGGCTGAACAACTCAATGTAGGGCATGGCCAGTGCAGGACATTTCAGGCAGAGGAACAGTATGACCTAGAACGGAAGTATCTCTAAATAAACACTTTTCAGAATAGCCGTTAAGTAGGATAAAAATACTCTCTTTCACTCTGCACCAATGACAGTGAAACTAATTACATATGAGAAACTTCTGTGGAATTCAAAACGTTGATCCTAGGTATCTGGACCTCTCTTGAGACTAATGGAATCTCTGGGAATGGACACAGAATCTGTATAGAAGCAGCACAAGTGGGGCAGCACCCGGGTGGCTCAGTCAGTTAAGCATCCAACTCTTGGTTTTGGTTTCAGCTCAGGTCATGATCTCAGGGTGGAGATGGAGCCCCATGTGAGTCTCCACGCTGGGCGTGGAGCCTGCTTGGGATTCTCTCTCCACACTCTGTCCCCCCACCACCCCCTCCCTCATGCAAGCTCACTTGCTCTCTCAAGGGGGGAAAAAAAAAGCACCACTGGCCCAGGGTTAAGAACCAATACAAAAAAGCCAACCAAAACTCAAGCCCTCCGTGAAAAGCAACTTGCTGGATCTGTGCCCGCCTTAAATACACTGACAGTAGAAAGGATACAAGATGATGACTGGGTTACTCAGTGGACATTAAGAGGTCAAATTACAGATTATACAACTCTTACCCATAACAGCAAAGTGTTAAAAATCTACAATCCCAGCAAAGAATACATTTAATTCTTAAAGAAATGAAAGTAAACTTACTCTTTCTCTTTGCATTCTTTTTCAACCTGCGTCAGGTAGTCCCAACGTGTGTTTTCTGCTTTCTTTCTACATAAGATAAGAACTGTATCTGTCTTGACCTGGAAGAAAAGCAGGAAAACAAGTACAACTTACAGCACATGGAGATAAGCATGGTTATTTGGAAAACATTTATGCAATCAAGTTACTATTATGTGTAAAACCGGTTTTAGGTAGTACTAATACTTGACAAATAGGACTCATGAAAGAGAAAGACCGTACACAAGTAAAACTGGAATACCTTCAAATATAAAGACAAAAACCAAGACAAAGAAGGTGTTAATGGGGTTTGTTCATTAGGAAAGGCCTCTGTGAGGTGAAATCTGAGCTGTGGCCCAAGATCCAGAAGAAACGGCACAGCAAGGAGAAAGGCTGTAAAACGGGATGATTTTGGTGTATCTGACTTAAAAAGGAAAAAAGTGGTAGGATTTTGGTGATTGAAGGACAGAGTAATACAGTAAGGCAGAAATCAAAATAATAACTTTCAACAGTGATCCATATAATTCCTAGGATTCTTCTGAGTATTTATGAGATTAATGGATAAAGAAGCAGTGAGACACAAGCTAATTAATAAGTTATATTCTAATACTGCCTTTAAACTGCTATAGAACTATGTAAACACAGATGGCAGAATGGCACATCTATGTACCAGATGTATTAAACCTTATTTAAGTAGAAAAGAGATTATCTGAGTTAGTGAAAAGTGTGAATAATAGTTTAAAAGGCCATTTATTTTTATAGATTTTACTACTTCTAGTTTGGCTAAGTGTTTAATTAAGCCCTCTAATATATCAAAAATTAAGCACTTTATATTTATTTCATTTCAGTATATAATTTCAACTTTGTAAGATAAACTATTCCATTGTACAAAGGAGGAAACTTGAGACATAGAATGACTGAGCTGCCAAAAAGTCACACCTAGTAAGTGGCAAAACTGGCATGAAAACTCAGTCTCACTCTTAACCAATTTTAAAGGTTTATTCCCTTCTTGATTTTAATGCACTATTCTTATAATAATCTATTCTTCTAGAGGCAAGAGTTGACACAAGACCAGATAGTTACTATTTTAGGTCTCTGGCGCAGCTACTTAATTCTGCCATTACAGTGCAATCACAGGCCCAGACAACACATAAACAAGTGAGCACAGGCGTGTTCCAATAATATAGCCATTAGGCTATAGTTTGCTGATCCCTGTTACAGAGGATAAATTAATTCTAGTTCCTCTCAATTCTAAATCAACCAGGTTCAACTTAATGAGGTTTCACAATATGACAAAAAAGTAAACTTACTTTTTTTGAACTGCCTTCCACAGAGATGGGTTTTAAGAGATTGTTCACAATCATGGAGTAACTCTTCCCATTTAGATTCTTTACCAAAAGATCAAATGACCTATAATACAATAGTGAATACATTATCTTTCTGGCTCTATGAGAGGTGCTTTACAGCTCTTGTGGAAAAAAGCCACCAGTTTTATTTTAGGATGTACATTTGGCCATCCCTGGTGATAAGATTAACCTCTTCAAAGCAGGTGTAAAGGAAAATTCTAAATTTAAGCAGGTTTAGAAACTGAAAAGAAGAGAACCAGTAATAAAGCAATCTCTGACTTAATGATCACTATATTTTCCATCGTGAGAACTCACCTCTCTGTGAAATGCACCTGCACGTTCTCGGTGGGGACCTGATGAACTCCAGTTAAGGTAATATAGATTTTCACAAACTTATCTGACTGATCCCATCCTAGTAACAACAAAAAAGGGACATGAGTAAAGTCTCATACACTCTCTAGAACAGCAAATGCATATGGCTCCTAAAACTGGAGGAAACTAAATTCTAGAATAGAAACATGGGAAAAATTAAAATATAAGAAACTTTCTAGATGGAGAAATTGAGCTTCATAGCAGTTAAGTAATCTACAAAGTTAGGCATCTAGCTAGTGGTAAAACTTCGATTCAAATCCAAGTTTACTGAACACAAAGCCCATGGTTTTTTTTATTCCTTAGAATAAGGAATATGATCATTAAACTCATTCTTAAGAGTAGCCCATTTTCTGAAGGGGGATAAATTGGAGGGGGAGATGAACCATGAGAGACTATGGACTCTGGGAAACAAACTGAGGGTTCTAGAGGGGTGGGGGATAGGTTAGCCTGGTGATGGTATTAAAGAGGGCACGTCTTGAATGGAGCACTGGGTGTTATATGCAAACAATGAATCATGGAACACTGTATCAAAAACTAATGATGTACTGTATGGTGATTAACAAAACATAAAAAAAAGAGTAGCCCATTTTTCTAACACCACACACACAAACTCAAAATGGATGAAAATGTGAGACATGAAACCATAAGCTCCTAGAAGAGAACATCCACAACAATGTCTCTGGCACTGGCCATAGCAACATTTTTCTAGATGCGGCTCCTGAGGCAAGGGAAACCAAAGCAAAAACAGTATGACTATACTAAATTAAAAAGCTGCACATAAAAGGATCACCAATAAAATGAAAAGGCAACCTAGTGAATGGGAGAAGATATTTGCAAATGATCTGGTAAGGGGTTAATATTGCAAAATACAGAAAGAACTTGCATACAACTCAGCACCAAAAGCCCCCAAATGATCAAATTAAAAAATGGGCAGAGGACCTGAATAGACATTTCCCCAAAGAGGACATACAGTTAGCCAACAGACACATGAAAAGATGCTCAACATCACTAATCATCAGGGAAATACCAATCAAAACAATGAGATGTCACCTTACATATGTCAAAATGGCTAGAATTAAAAAACAAAACCCCAAAAACATGAAATAACAAATGTGGGTATGGATGTGGAGAAAAAGGAACCCTTGTACACTGTTGGTGGGAATGTAAATTGGTACAGCCAGTGTGGAAAACAGTATGGAAGTTGCTCGAAAATTCAAAATAGATATACCATTATGATTCAGTAATTCCACTACTGGGTATTTACTCATGAAAAACAAAAACACTAACTTTAAAAGATACATGTACCCCTACAGCATTATTTATAATAGCCAAGAGACGGAAGCAACCTAAGTGTCTGTCAACAGATAAATAGATAAAGATGTAGTATATATGACATGGAATTATTACTCAGCCATAAAAAAGATCTTGCTATCCACAACAGCATGGGTGGACCTAGAGAGTATTATGCTAAGTGAAGTAAGTCAAATAGCATATGATTTCATTTATATGTTGAATCTAAAAAACCAACAAAAGCAGAAATAGACCCATAAACACTGAGAACAAAACAATGGTTGCCGGGGTTAAGAGGAGGAGATAGGCACAGTGGTAAAGGGGAGTGGGAGGTACAGGCTTCCACTTATGGAATGAATAAATTTGGGAGAATAAAAGGTGCAGCACAGGGAATACAGATGATACTGTAATAGCATTGTACGTGACACCTGCGGTGAGCACAGCCTAACAGAGGTGCTGGATCACTGTGCTGTACACCTGAAACGTATGTCTCATTGTGGGTCACCTATACTCAGATTAAAAGAGCAGCTCATTTTCTTTTTGTGGAAATTTTGTCCTGTATCTAAATATCAATAATTCACTACTAAACTGGATTTCTAAACATCAGTATTATCTAATTTCATAATCATTTCTACTTCTCTAAAACAGTTCAAAGGCAATCACTGCTTTCTCAATTACCTTCACTGATACAGTAAAATACAGAGTCCTGATGAATTCTGTCAACTAAAAACATACAAGCTTCACATAAAAAGTGAATAAAATGTAAATAAAAATGAATAATGAATATTGTATATATAGGCTCTCTGTATATCCTTGACTGTTCCTTACTTATAGTCCTATAGAAAAGAAGTGTAGTGTTAATAAAAAAAAAAAAAAAAGACATCCTAAAAGGTTCTGCAGACCTTCATCTGGTTTCTTCCCATTCATATGATCCAGCCTCCACATTGAGAACAGTTTCTCCCTTAACACAAATCAAGGTTGCTGGGTATATGCCATAATCCTACAAGCTCAGACCAGCTTTCTTTGGTCAAATAAGTACACAGCATATCTCCTTATTGTACTATACTACATCTCTCTTTTTAGAAAAAAGATTTTATTTATTTGAGAGACAGAGAGCACACACAAGAGGGGGGAGGGTCAGAGGGAGAAGCAGACTTCCTGCTGATCGGGGAAGCCCAATGCAGGACTGGATCCTGGGACTCTGGGATCATGACCTGAGCCGAAGGCAGTCACTTACCCAAATGCGCCACCCAGGTGCCCACTATACTACATCTCTTAAGCACAACACACACTGCTTTTCATTATGACAATATGGAAAATACATGCTGCCTTTCATGGCTCTATGCATGTCCTCTGCTCACTCGATCCCCCCTCCTTTTCTTACATTTGCCAAACTCATCCTTCAAACTCAAATGTCTAAGTCTCCATTACATCAGCTGTATTCCCACAAAACTTCACAAACCTCTATTCACTTCATTCGAGCAAATATTAAGTAATTACTATGTGCTAGATACTGGGAGCACAAAGAAAAATGACTGTCCCTCCCCTCAAGAGAGCTCATCAGATTCAAGTTGCACTGTTCCAAAATGATCTACTGAGAGAAAATGGTATCATTACGTTATGGTATTAGTTGTATGTCTGTGTCCTAACCACACCATGAGCAAGGATTGGGTCTTGGTCCCTGTGTATCCACAAGCCCAAGCACAACAGTGGCATAGATTAGGCACTCAGAAATGTTTCTCGAATTTGCCTAGATTCCTTTCCTTAGATAATACTGGTGGTTGTTTGGCAAAATAAAATGCAAAACAGGATTAAAACAAGAAGCTGTATTCCTTATATGCTGAACATATTTCAGAATAGGTTCATTCTTGTTGCTACTCATTACAGAAAATCATCTTGCTCTTGTTGATAGCTTTTAAATCTATTCTTTCCTTTTTCATTTCTTCCAAAGCATCTTAATAAATAACAATAGGTCTTCTCTTTAAACTACCAAAAACAAACGCTAGGACTATTTTAAAAATTGACTTTGTTAATGGGTCACTACTCACGAATAAGTTCCTGGGAGGCAGAAAGAACCGGATGTAGGATAGGGAGTCATACCGTAATTACTGATTTTCACTGTATATCCTGTTGTAATGGGAGCAACCACAGCAGCTGGCTTTTCACTGTCAAGAAGTTCTGCTTTTCTCTGTGATTTCTGCTGCATCTTGTTCTTGATTTCTGTCTCAATCTTGGATTTTTCAGCTGTAAGGGCATCACGTACTCTTTTTCTAGTGGCTTTTTCCAGCAGCACCTTCACCTCTTCTAAATCTTTCTGTAGCTGTGTTAAAATAGAAGGAAGTTAGCTATGATAAATAAAATAATAGCTGGATATTGTGCCTGTTGGTCATTTCAGTCTACTGAAGAGCTAAGAATTAAGAGATTCATTTAAATTTTCTAGGGTTGGGTCGCAACCTGAGATTCTTTTCTCCAGCCTATTGAACTGTAAATAACTGAAGCTTCCTTTTTTTTTTAAGGAAAACTTAATCTTAAACTAACAGTAATTAATCAAGCCTAAATTTTCCAGTTTGGTAGCTGCCTTTGTTTTAGAACAGTTTATTGACAAGATAATACTGTTGTGATTCATAAAGTTCGATGGAGGAATCTCAAGAAAAATTTATGGATTTCCTTATAACATCTGTTCCTAGTCATCAGGTATTAGGAATTTTAAAAATCTTAAAATAAAAAAGATGAGTGAATACACGATGAACATGGTGAAATCCTACAGCAATTTTAGTGAGGCAGTCTACTTTCTGTGATTGTTCCTCACTGGTTCCTACCCCAAATACTACACATTAAAAAGTTTGCATTTTTAAGAGATAAAAAAAATAAAGACATTTCTGCTTTTAAGAAAAAGTCTTGTTCTGAATCTCCAGGTTAACACTGCAGTCAAAAGTCTGGGTCTTGGTTGCACCATAGAGGAGAAAAACCTAGGAAAACAATCCAAAATGAGACACAGTCCTGGATCACTGAAAAAACCACCTGTTCTTTTCTCCTCAAGCCAATACATTGCCTACCAGTGTCTATTTCTACTTTCTAGAGAAAGGGCCAGCATTTTATGAAGTTCAAGAGTTAAAGACACTATTAGATAATTATAATTAATCAGCTTAAAACCTTTTCCCCATTATCCTCTGACATACTGCAAATGCGTAAGATCCTTACAAACAAGGGTTTCATTTTTCTTAAAATAAATTTACATTCTGACTTGATAATAGCGATTTGACATTATATACTACAGCCTCAGAGCATATAAAGAACCTCAATATAAAAATCTTTAAATGCTTGATAACTCAGTATAATGTCCAAGTAGAATTTTAAAGTCTTTGTTTCTTAAGTCTTACAAAATGTAATAACAGAAAAACAAATGCTTTTTACCCTAAGTCTTCCATTATCTCATTTAACTCTGCCGCCCTCATTTCACTTATCAGTAACTACTAGGATGTTAAATAAAGTCCAATGGTGGTAGTCTCCTGTCTTATCTACTCCCCTCACCGCCAAAACTCATACTGCTAAGACAAAGAATCCTGCAATTTCATCTTTTGAGCACAGAACCAAGATGCTTTCATTCAAAGCAGTATCTTATTATGATCTTAAAAATTCAGATTCTAATACCAATATGATAAAAATATTGAAATGTAAAACCAGTATATTTGTTCCTAAGGATTCAGTTAACAACTACAAAAAATAAAAAATATATCAAGTCTTAAACAAGATGTTTTATTTCTTGACTGGATAGGAATCCTTTTTCTAGCAGGCTTCTTAACTGTGAGAATTAAGCAAGGGATTCTCAGGCCTCTTTACAGCCAGTTTTGGCTCTCTCATACTACAAAAGGAAGGGAGCCACTCTAGTCTGAAGCAACCTTCCAATAGGCCTGTTTTTAATTCCACAGTTCTATTATTTGCAGACCTGAAACCAGTAAAATTGATCCCTCTGGTACTTTTCCTGCACACATACTTGAAGATGTCACAGATAAAGCAGTTTCTTATCTAATTTACCTTAGCATTCATTTGTTTTCCTTACACAACATCACACATCCCTTTTATCCCCACCCATAAAACACATTCAAGCTTTTTCCTGAGTTCTTCACCAGGAAGCACTGAAACCAAAGTGCCTCAAAATGAGCAAAGGACTTGAACACAGCCATCAAGCACATGAAAAGATGCTCAACAATCTTAGTCATTTAGGAAATGCACATCAAGATCACAATAGGATGCCACTTCACACCCACTAGGATGGCTAACAACCCCCCCCCCCCCGCCTGCCCAAATAACAAGTGTTAAGAGGGTGGGCAGATTTTGGTACCTTCATATGTAACTTATGGGAATGTAAAGTGGTGCAGCCACTTTGAAAAGAGTTCACAGGCTCCTACAATTCCACTCCTGGGTACGTACCTCACAGAATTGAAAATACATGTCCACATAAGAAGCTGTACACAGTATTCATCGGGGCACAGTTCGTAATAGCCAAAAATCAATCATCTAAATGTCCATCAACTGATAAAGGAGAAACAAAATGTGGTATATCCACATAATGGAATATTATTCGGCCATAAAAAGGAACACATGCCACACCATGGATGAACCAGAGATTATGTTAAGTGAAAAGAGCCAAAAGCAAAAGGCCACATTCTGTAAGATTCCATTTACATGAAATGTCCAGAATACGTAAATCTATAGAGACAAATTAATTAGTGGTTGCTGGAGGGAGCGGAAGTAGGAAGGGACTGCTTAACAGACACTTAATAGGTCTCTTTTGGGGATGATGAAAATGTGGAATTACATAGTAGTGATAGTTGTGCAACACTAAATGTACTAAAAATAGACACTTTAAAATGGCTAGTGAATTTTATATCAAACAAAAACAACCTCTGAAGTGTCCCTAAGAGTGTATTTTAAAATACCTCAACTGAGAAAAACCCCTTATTTTGAAGAGGATTAATAACTGAGCTATCCACATGTGTGACTGTGAAGTCACTGCAGAGATTCTTTCCTCAGGGCACACGGAAACCCAAGGCCTATCTTTAACACGTAACATAAACCTGGGGCGAGGTATCCAGTATAATACACACATACCCCCCCAACACACACATTTTCTTCATTTAAGGATGTTTCCAAGTCAAGTATGAGATTTCTTGGACTTGCTCATATTGAGGAAGAGATCTCCAGAACACAAATCTAGTTAATACTCAACACTTTACTGTGAATAACACTATCATGTACTGACATCCTACTTAGGCCAGGAAAAGAGCAATGCAAATATTATTATTCTCATTTTGTAACTGTGCAAACTAAGTCTTCAAAAAAGTTAAGCCCGCCCCTGGTTCAGAGTTCATTGATCTTGAAAGAGAAAAAGGCTATTTCCCACCTTTAGTTACAACTTTCCAATTTATTTTTAAAACGCATCTAGCAGGTTGCTGTTTGCCAAGCACTGTTTTCAACATTTAGAACTACTAGCTGGTCTTTCTAACTCTACGAAATGAATACTACTGTGGCACAGAGACGCCCAATAACTTGCGCAAAGTAACCCAGCTACTCATGTGCACTGAGAAAACAGGACTAGGAGAAGTCAAGGGCTGGGAGCAAAGACTTCTCACCTTCCAACCGCCTTCTACGGTGGAATGACCCTCGGTTTTTGCAATCAGCATTAAAGAAGCTTCACCTTCCCGGGCTCGTCTAGCAGGGGCCGACGGAGCCTGAGGAAAACGTGAAGGTGACCAGCTCGCCCAGGTCCACCGCGGGCACTACCTGCAGCCGGGGGCCGCGACACTGCCCCGAGCACCCAGCCCGCGGGGCAGGGACCACCGGCAAGACCATCGACAACTTTCCCGGGGCAACGGAGGCCGGAAGCCGGGGGAAGCCGCTGCAGGTGGGCGGCTGGGCCGCCTAGGCGAAGGTCGGGGACCCGACGACGCAGGAGGGAGCCAGGGAGGCGGCCACCGGGCACCCTCGGCTCGGGATACAGGGCGGGGGTCGGGCGCGAGTACGGGGCGACGGCGCTCAAAGCCCCGCACGGCCGAAGTGAGGAAGATGAAGCCGGACCCTTACCTCTTCCAAAGCTGAAGCCATGGTCGGACTGATCAGGCAAGGCCCGAGCTGCAGACACGCAGGGGGGAACAACAGGAAACACCGCACCGAACGCGCTTACCCCGACGCAGGCCCCACCCGCACGAGTCACAGCGCCCCAAGCCTGCGCGCACACCCGACCCGGCGCGAGACCCAGCCCGCCTCCCGCACGCGGCGCCTCTGGAACCTTCGCGAGTCCGTCGCCGCCGCCGCACCCCCCAACCCCCCTGCGCGCGCGCCTCCCGCCTCCCGCCTCGCTTAGCCCCGCCCCGCCGAGCCTGGCCCCGCCCCGTCCGCCGAGCCTCTTAGCAACGCTCAACTCTCGCGAGCAAACCAGCAGCTCGAGAAGAGTAACGCCTCTTCCTCCCCGCCCGGGCAACTGTACGTCTTATACTTTGACCTCGCGTGTCCCGGCTGCGCAGTCGCAGCTCAGAACCGCTGTCTTGACGTACCTTAACCCATCCCCGGAAATAACGTACTGGTCTTCGGGGCCCAAATCGGAAGTTGACTAGAGAGTTGGCTGATTCCGTCTCATCTAGGGCACCGGGTCGGCTAGGCAGCCATCTTACCTAAAGCTAATTTGTGAGCGTCTGTGAGAAAAGGACCAGAGAGGGGGAGAAGGGGCAGCCTTTTTGTGCCAAAACAGGAAAGAATGGAGACGGTTAGCGTAGAGGATCCTGAAAGGAATAGTTCGATTTTTCAGTGGGTTCTGACGTTCTGGAGACGTCACCGCGATTTAGCATCTGCGGTGTGGTGGCGTCATCACGGAGCGCCACGGGAGGTGGGGTTCTGGCCACGTGACGGGACCCAGTAGCGCTGCCAGGGGTTAAAGCTTCTAGTGCCAGGCTCCCCAGTCTTCGGCCGCAATTGTAGCTCCCCCTTTTGTTCTTCGACTGTTGAATTGCTTCTACGGTACCTTCGTCCTCTTCACCGAACATTCTGCAACTCTCTAATTCTAACCCAGGTTTGAATTGGTTCTGAGACTGTTAACCTGAGAAAATGTAGGCTGAGTTTTCCCGGGATTACATTATGTTCCTCCTCTGTTCAGATTTTAGCCTTGGGCACCCTTAAAACGTCTGCAACAGGATTGGGAATAAACAGTAATCTCTGGGAAGTCAAATAACCCTCACTCAGCTTTATATATCGCCCAAGGCAACGATTAGAAGTCTGAGAAGGAAAAACGCTACTAGAAAAATGCAGGCTGGCCATTGTCATGGTGAAGAAGCTTCTGGAGTGTAGTACAAAAATAGACAAACTGCAATTACTTACAAGATGCATGAATCTCACAGATCTGACGTTAAGGGAAAGAAGCCAGATAAGAGTTTACATCGTTTGGTTTTATTTAAATGAAGTGTAAAACCAGCAAAAGTCATTAGTTATGGTGTTAAAAATCAGGATAGTCTTTCCTTGGACGGGGAGGACAATGACAGAACCACGAGGAGGCTCTTGAGGTTCATATAATGTCTTATGTCTTGATTTGGATATTGGTTGCAGGTATGTTCCCTTTGTAGAAATTTCATGGAGCTATACACTGGAGTGCAATTTTTTTGTATGTTACACTTAGCTAAAAGTTATATTTAAGTAGGAGGGAATTATCCCAAGAAGATTAAATGTTACACTGATACATTACAATTGTCAAAATTGATAGAATGAACTCCTAAGATCTGTGCATTTTGTTGTATGTTAATTATTCCTGTTTCTTAAAAAGTGTCCAGCCCAAAGCCTGGAATTATTTATACTTAATTATAAATAAGAACAAATAGCCCATTGCACTGCGGGAAAGGTTGACCTAAAGCAGTGATTTTTCTAATTTGCTTGATTATGCACCTGAGGCAACTCTCCCTACTGCCAGATAGCCTAAATAGAGGTTTGATGTATCTATGTATGTATTTATTTATTTTTATTACTGGTCTTTTTTTAAACTTTAAATTCAAATTAACATACAGTGTAGTATTGGTTTCAGGAGTAAAATTTTGTGAGTCATCACTTACATATAATACCCAATGCCCATCCCAACAAGTGCCCTCCTTACCATCACCCATTTTATACCATCCAGTAACCCTAGGTTTGTTCTCTATAGATAAGAATCTCATGATTTGCTTTCCTCTCTCTTTTTATCTTATTTTTCTTTCCCTTCCCCCTATGTTCACGTTTTGTTTCTTAAATTCCACATAAGAATGAAATCATATGGTATTTGCTTTTCTCTGACTTATTTCGCTTAGCATAATATACTCTTAATTCCATCCACATTGTTGCAAATGACAAGATTTCATTCTTTTTGATGGCTGCATAATATTCCTTTGTATATATGAACCACATCTTTATTCATTCATCAGTTGATGGACTTCTGGGCTCTTTCCACAGTTTGGCTATTGTGGACATTGCTGCTACAAACATTGGGGTGCAGGTGCCCCTTCGGATCACTACATTTTTATCTTTGGGGTAAATATCCAGTAGTGCAATTGCTTGTTCGTAGGGTAGTTCTCTTTTTAACTAAAGTTAGAAGATTTTAAGTACCATCTATTATCCGGTGACTCCCAAATCAGTGTCTTCAGCAACACCTCTCCTCTGAGCTCTGGACTCTGTCTCTACTTGGATGTCTGAGAAGTACATCCAATTTAGCTTGTCTGAGAAGTACATCCAATTTAGCTTATCTGAAAAAAAACAAAAACACGCACACACACACAACAAAAATCTCCTCCCAGTCATCTTCACACCTCAAATCAGTTTCTCCAATTATTCTCCCACTCTGAATGGTTACCTCCTGCTCCTAATTGCTCAGGCCAAGGAATCACTTGAGCCTTCAATCTCAGGTCCTACCTCCCATCCTATAGAAAGACTTACTGTCATCTACAAAATACGTGGATAATCAAACCACTTCTCACAACCTCCACTGCTACCACTGAAGACCAAGCATAATTATTTTATCTGGATTTCTAGCCTCTTAACTGGCTTCCCCCCACTCCAACCCCGTGCCTTTACAGTTAGTTTTCCACAGAGCAGCCAGAGTAATCTTTTCAAATCATTATATCCCTTTGGTAAACAACCTCCCAATAGCTTCCTGTTGGGCTTAGACTAAGCGCAAACTCCTTACCATGACCTAACATATACTACATGATCTTATCTCACCTTTATGATGAGTATCATGTCTCATCTCATAGAACTCTTCTCTCACTGCTCCTCCCTCTCCCTGGTTTAAACACTGGCATGTTATACTTGAATCTACAGAGTTTGCCCTCACCTCAAAGTCTGTACTCTGTGCTTTTCTCTCTGAAGTGCTTTTCCTCCAGACCATCACGTAGATCATCGCGTAGATGTTCATTTTACTCAGGTCTCTCAAAAGTAACCCTAAGAGCTGCTCTTCCCAGCTGTATTAGGTTTCGATCAGGGAAGCAGAATCAGTAGCAGATACTTATTGCAAGGAATTAACCTATGCAATTGTTAGAACTGGCTAAGCAAGTCCAAAATCCTTAGGCCACACAAGCAAAAATGGATTATAGGCAGGCTGGGCACCATGAGAACAGGTTGAAGCTTTGATCCACAGAAGTCAGGGAAGGAAGAATTCCATTCTTCTCTCAAGTAAATCTCAGCCCTGCATTAAGACCTTCCAACTGACTCAATTAGCCCCACCCAGATTATCCCAGATAATCTCCCTCAAAGCTAAATGATTAAGAGCTTTAATTACTATGTGCACAATACACAGCAACACTTACTTTTTGGCTGAATCGTGGGGGAGTGTAGGCTAGCCAAGTTTACATATCAAAAACCATCCTATCAACCTCATCCCCATCACTCATCATTTCTCTCCACCCTCTTACCCTGTTTTTCTTCATAGTACTTATTAATACCTGCAATTTATTAGTCTTCCCAATAGTCACTCTCAATTGGCGGCAATTGTGGACATTTTGCTTACTCCTTCCTCCCAGACATTTGGCAAGACATTTTTGGTTGTCACAACTGGTGAAATACTACTAATATCTAGTGGGGAGAGGCCAGGGATGCTACTAAATATCCTACAGTATGCACTACAGCCCCCACAAGAAAGAACTCTTTGGCCCAAAATGTCAGTAGTTTTCTCTGAGTTTGAGAAAAATTCCATGCTAGAGTTAAAACTTCTGAGGTAGGATCTTTTTGTTCACCTCATTTCTAGCACTTAGAGACTGGTGCGGTAGGCAGTCAGTAAATTTGCTTGAATTAATTTAATAGACCTGGCAATCTGCATTTTATTTTCATTTTTGTCATTTAAATACTACAATTTCTATTTGGTGAGCCCGTGCTAAAGCCTGAACTTCCTTGCAAATTTTCCTTGCAAGTAAACTTTTAAAAGATTTTGTTCTGTCTCCCTTTGACAGTAATAAAAGATTTTGTTACAGTAGAATTTCAAAAAGGTGAAATCAAAAATCCCTCGCAAATATAAAAGGAACATGTGACAAATATTTTATTCAATTCAATGAGGGAACCAGTAAGATGTCAAAACTGTTATCAAAGTGTATTTGCATAATGGATCCTTAGAGGCAATTTATTTCTATTTTTTTAAAGATTTTATTTGAGAGAGAGTGGGGAGTGGGGCAGAGGGAGAGCATCTCAAGCATGAGCATGGAGCCTGAAACAGGGCTTGATCTCACAACCCTGAGATCATGACCTGAGCCGAAACCAATAGTTGAATGCTCAACAGACTGAACCACCCGGGCACTCCCTAAGTGCCTGCACTTTATTTTTTTTTTAAGATTTTATTTATTTATTTGAGCAAGAGAGAATGAGAGCACGAGAGGGAAGAGGGTCAGAGGGAGAAGCAGACTCCCCGCTGAGCAGGGACCCCGATGTGGGACTCAATCCCAGGACTCCAGGACCATGACCTGAGCCGAAGGCAGTTGCTTAACCAACTGAGCCACCCAGGCACCCATGCCTGCACTTTAATAATGGAATGTTAGTGTATGGTTGCAAAGTTAGATACAAACTGGCTAATGTCCTACCAGGGTAATAAGCCATATATAACCTTTGGAGTATCCATTCCACTGAAAAGAAAGTAAGGATTTGCATCCCTACTGGACATAAATCTACAACTTAACATGTAACTTCACTAAGTCTAGGACCTTTAATCAGTAGTGAACAGTGAATTTCATTTACTGTTCATGTTAAGAACATTCATGACTTCTAACTACCAAATTCAGTATTTTTTGGAATAATTTTGCTATTTTACTTTTTACATAAAATTTC